GTACATATACTTCCACCCCGATGCTACAGGAACCAGCTTTAATGGATTTGGGAAGCGTAGTCCTACAAAACGTGAAAGGATATGTGTTTGTTTTCACTATGTTTGATTCTTGTTTTCTGGTAAAACGCTTCACCATAGTAACGCCTTGGTCCTTCAACTCTGCCGCAATCTCTTCTTCGGTCATATCTGATAGACAACGGGACCTGTCTCTTACAATACCTCTGCAAGTGTTTAGAGTCTTATGCACTGTTAGACAACAACCTGTTTGTTTACAAACTGCTGTAAGCGCAACAGATTGGCAGCTTGCTGCCGCCTTACACATTCAACCAAGAGTGAACCATTTCGGAGGCGAGTGACATTCTTTACCTCCCCACAGACACCTTGGATGCCCTTGGATTGATATTCAACGGACTTCAATCATCAGTTGCAATGACCAAGAACCTTGGCCAGGAATCATTCAATAAAGGGGATACCTCTTCATCAGATGACGGAAAAAGATGTCTCCGCTTATTTGTTTTGGACGAACCAGAGTGTGTGTTTTGAGCCATGGTATAATAATAATGTTCGACAACCCTGCTCCCCACCCGCCATCGAGTGTCAACAAGGACGATGTTACAGTGTTAACCCGACTACAACACCAGGGCTACAGGGATGTTATACTCCAGAAATACAGACATAAATAGCTGAGAATTCTAAAAGATCACATGTCAGGCTGGTTCGGCCCATCACATTAGTCTCAAGATACTCAGTAATCAGAGATCCATATCACCAGATTGGCCCATGAGCCACCGCCTTCTGGCATAGGACTCTAGGCAATTTAACATAGTTACAATTTGTAATCAAGAAATCGAAAAGACCAATGCCCTCAAAAAAAATTAATATTAACCATGCACAGGGCTTGGCGTGACCAGCCGATTGATAAAACCGGTCCAGTTCTACCACCCGTCTAGGTGAAGTAAGGGGCGAAGTGGTGTGTTGGGCAAAAGGAACACGGTTCCAGGCTCTCAGTGCCCTCAACCACCAGACTCCCGTCCTCCACCGACACAGGGGCGCAACCCACGGCAAACGGGTTGGTGGACCAAATATATCCCCGGGTCCACAACGGGGGGTTGAAGAGCGCTTAGCTTTACCCAGCACCCACCACGAGGAGGTGGCTCTCCATGGGTGCCCCCAGGAGGGTGACGACTGAAACAAATAGTACCGGCTGCCACGGTAACCGCCAAACTCTCCGCCGAGAAACTGATAATATGACGCATGCACTGCCCGGAGTTCGAAAACCGTTCAATTAGCTGCTTTTTCAATTAACTATGTAGACACCGACTTTCACTGCTTTATTTAAACTATTTTATACATTGAATATGTTTCACTGATTTCAAAAATCCATTCGAGAGGCAGAGGCCATTGTGTTTACATGTCATATAGTCGGTCGCGATCTTCCAAATAAAATAAAATGAACATTTAACATGGCGGTAAGAAAAATACGTTGTATGCTTCTCTTGAGGGTAATACGGTCTGATGTACGCCTATTTGTAGCAGTGTTACCGAAGCTGGTAGGCGAGGGATAACACTGCCACAAAGAGGCGTTCATCATCTCGGGTATTGCCCTCGTGAGAAGCATACAACTTATAAAGTAACAAGGTTTAATAAACGGAAGAGATTCCAATATAGGAAGTAAGTAACGCGTGAACATATACGAGAAGGCGAAAGAAAAAAATATGATAAAGTTTGTGATGGAATGCAATAGAAGTATTAAACATAATAGGTGACGAATACAAACAGAAAGTGCTACATAGTTTAAATGTTGAAGTTCTTCTACGTTTAGTCACAGCAATGCTCGCACATTTTTGTACGTGACAAAACTGAACCACTATCAAACTATTAAACTCGTGTAAACAGATAGAGAAATCTTAAAAGTGTTAATATTAATGTGGATGTACACGTAGTTGAAATAATGCTGATAAGTTCTCCATTGACCATTTTGTACAATCCCTTAACACTCAAATGGTGGTAAAGATACCAGCTTATTCTGGTAACAGTTAAAGTCATTCAGAATAACACATGTAAATGTTCAATCGATGTGTTACAAAGAAACAATACTTCGCACATTTAACAGATATTTGACACTTGAAATAAAATTTCTTATTAAAAGGAATACATTTTAAATCTTCAACAATTATTTTGATACGTTTTATAAAACATTAAAACAATCCATCTATCAAATGCAGCCATGTTATTAGTTCCACTCCCAAAAAAAATAAAACAAACATATTTCATTACAATTCTTAAACATTCTCCCTCCAGTTGGAAGAATATAGCAGCTATGTACACATATATCAATTTACCGAATACAGGAAAACAATAATAGATGAATTATAAGAAGGACAATATGTATGATATATTACATAGTTGCTAGAACAACAAATGATGTTTGCTTGAGTTTGCCCCGTTCGCTCACTTACAGCATACAACATACAGCATATATAATTTGGCAAAATATTGGTGAAAGTTATATGAATGGATCAATGAACATTAGCTAGGACACCAGGTGTCTCAATCCGTGATGCATAAATTTCAATTATGACGATATGCAAAAGAGCATACGATTGTAATATTATGGGTGATATTGTTGTAGTAGATAATACATGTATATACAATCTTTTGTTCCATCCCAAATGAACTCGGCTGTACCCAGGGCTTGTTCTGGACCCATCATTAGGTAAAAGAACAAGTCCTGAAACGTTGTATTCAAGAATAAAAAGAAGATGAAACCCAGAAAACTCTCTATGATCAGCAAATAGCATATTATAAAATGCCAATCAAGCATCCAAGACGTGATATTGTGTCAGAATTTCTGTCCTTAACATTGCTGGTTCATCCATGCATTTGTGTTAACTTTCGAAATATTGACATAGGTGGGAGTACTGTCGTCGGTGTTGATGTCGCTGGATGTGGAGTTAAACATCAGCTCCGTGTATGTGTCTTCGCCTGCTGCACCTCCGGCGACTCTCTCAGGCAACACGTAGATGTTCATGGGGGTTGAGGGAGCCTCGGCAGTCTGTTCTGTTGTTTTCTTAACTGGTATCGTCGTCCTGCGGCTATAAATATAGAGAGATAAACAGATAAACACTTTTAACATTACTATAGCTGGTCCTACCGTTGGCACAGACTCATCCTGACATCCATCTGAAAATCTATCCAAGTGGCCAAAATTCAAATTTGCAACTTCTGAGATCTGCATTGTTCGACATGTTTAACTCTTTCAGCTGAAATATTGCTGAGCTCAGTTTAAACAACAACCAGTCTTGCGATATTACAGTCGCTGATGCCTGTATCAGAGCTTGATACGAAGCTGGTCGTATTGCTGGGGATAGCGAAGGGCGTTTGATAGGTCGTCTGGCTATATACCAGGCCGGTTTTAGGCGAATTATGATATTTGCTTAATGATGGGTCCACGTATTACACACGATGCTCGTCTTTGATGGCAGCATGTGCATCAATAAAAATCAATGTAAGGTCAAAGTAATCTTACAAACATAATTATGATATGAATATATAGTCATATAGAAGTTAAAAATCAAAGTCGGTGCGCTACTTTTGGGCATGTGTATAGTTGGACTGTTGTTATGGACCTCATCCACTTCATTCTGTTTGCAGTCTTATACTTCTATTCACAGTTTGTTATCAACGACCCAAATTCAAATTGAATATATATATACGCTAAAGATCATCAACATATTCAAGAAATAAGAATCATAAAAACGAAGAATTATCCGAGAAGTAAACTTCAGTTGTTATACGTACTCAAATACTTACATGTAGAATACATATGCAATAAAGGCGACCAGGAGAGCCACGATAATAATCCCACAGACTACACCCACGATCAATGTAGCGTTGTTAGAACTACCAGCTGAAATGAATATTTTTGTCTTTTGAATTAAAGAATATGTTTTTCCCACGAATTACTACAAGAATTTCTGACGAATTCACACGTCAAGGTATCCAGACACATGGCAGTGAAGTGTACTTACAAATGCACTTCGAACGTTTTGCAGTCATCACATCACCGAATGATGTCATCCACGTCATACGCATAACAAACAACATTAACGTTGCACTTCTATAAGATTCAGAATGTCCTTTCTATCACGCCAGCATTTCAAATACAAATAAAATGTTCATGTCGTTCAAATGATCAAAAACAACGGCATTAATGCCGCTGAGCATTGGAGAAAATGTTGAGAAAAGGGCCCACGTTTTCGCTTTGTAACATGAACTTATAATACGATCCTCTGATGTATGCATATCTATGATATACCTTTTGGAATTACGTTGCTATGCTTAGATAGTGGATATCATCTCTTGGAAACCAAGGAGCCTTACATATATTTGGGTGATATCGTGGCAAAGAGGAATATTGATAAATATGACGGGCGATTGGACGACGAGAAGAAAAGAAACATTCACCTTGGAGGGAGTCATCTTCATTTAACTTGATTCGAATTCCATCTGGTGTAGAGGTCTCTGGAACGATTTAGTGAAGTCATTGGAAGTAAAGTTACCATTATAAAAACGAGAAAGGGTTGTTTGTTTAGGTAAACGCCACATTGAACAATATATTAATGATTTCAGGACCTGTGATGCATAAGAACAGTGGGCACAATGCTTTTTACACTATGTAGTTGTGTTTGTTGGAATCTACTAGTTAGCTAAAACGTTTGGAAATCAGCGTTGCTCAGGTGAGGTGAGGTCAAATGGTGTTTAACGTCGCACTTAAGAATATTTTGCTCATATGACGACATGCATGCGTGTGTATGTGTGGCTGCTAGTACTAGCCCAGACTTAAGCTGTCTTTATTGTGCTAGCTCACTGATTTACCATGTATGAATACCCCACTCAGACACATTATACTGACTCCGAGCCGACCAATCCTTGTTGTACCCTTGTATTAATGCCAAGCGCCAGTCAGGGACCAACAAGTGCCATATTTTAACGTTTTGTGGTATAACCATTACACCACGGAGGCGGTCGCGCTGCTCGGGAGATACTATACTGTAGTACAGTGGTAGTAAGGCTATGACGAGGTCCGTCGTATAAATGCATCGCGGTAAAGAGGGAAACACCCGCCTGTATTTATCTTGATTCCGCTTCCATCTGATGTCGAGGTCCCTGAAATGATTTAGTGAAGCCGTTCAGTATATTGTCTAGGTATTAGTATATTCTAACGTACACGAGACTTTGTTTCGTTTAGCAAACATAATATCTAGTATTCACAATTACACGGCGTGAGATACATATAAACAATAACATGATTGGAACATTATTGGCACAGTTCTACTTGTACACTGATCCGAAATACTTTTCTTCATCTAAAGCGCCATCAACGTCTTTGGGCATTAAGAGTGATAGTCTTACACAGAAATACTCCCTGTATAAACGACCTAGGATGGGTGAAAAGGTAGACAGTGACTGAATATCACTCATCACTATTGCTATTGTCCTTGAAGTACATGGCTGGGATTTATGTAATCTAATATAGCGCTTTGATCACTAAAACAATCAAACTACATTACATTCTTTACCTTTGAAGCGATCACTGGTATCTAACCTGTTGCCAAGTCCATCTGGTACAGAGGTTTCTGGAATGATTCGGAAAAGCTTGTGGGTACAATGAGAGGAAGTTGATGTTGCAACGAACGATACACCAAGACAATCTATCAATGATCAGGCCAACCGGTGACTGAATGAATGAACAACGATCTATGTCGTCGGCATGAAATAACAATCAGGAAGGTCACATGCCGCTATCAGCACAGATGTATTCCCGCCATAGTGCTTGAAATTATTCTCACACGAAATCTCAACATGGTATTGGTCATATTGCTGGAGATTATAGCAACAATTAGACTGGCTAATTCTGATAATTTTTGTTTTTGAAAAGTATCTAAGGGGTCAAGCACGTGCGTATTGGGTAGACGGTAGACGCCAAGTTGAGAATGGAAGGCTCTACCTGCAATACAGATAAATGCATCATTTGTTTGTAAGATTCTATGTTTTTACACATAAATGTACACCGATAAACCAACCTGTATCATGATTTTTCCTAAAACTGTATCCTCCCTTGTATATTAAATTGTCATAGTATCCAAGGACAGCAAAGGAAGCATCAGAACGGATGGTTGTTATGTATCTCCCACTTCTTAATGTTCCCACTTTGTATCTTGTACCTGACACATTCTTCCATTTGACTGGAGGGCTTAAAACTGTAGATATACTGTCATGAATTTGTTCAACGGCCACATCACCGTTATCTTGATCTGTCATAATCTGCACGGTACCCTGGGCATATGTTGTTAACCTGGAGTATAGGCTTACTGGGGGCACTACAACTAACGCATCACGATGGTAATACCTTCCAAAGACACACAATGTGGCCATTACTGGCCTTGTGGTGTTGAAGTAGAACGTTTCAGAATTTCCACATGGTTTACGGTACACTCCATCTTCACCCACTGATATGGAAGAACCGTTGTTAAACATGATGTTCGTGTCACTGTGGTCGGTAACAACTTGAAGTTGGTGTTGAAGGGCAGTCCTGTATATTATGTCAAAGTAATACGGGTTCTGGATTGCGACAACATAGTCATGTCCATGATGTTTCACGGGAAGCAATTGCTCGAAAGTAGTGAAGATCGTATCGCGCACATGATATGTGCCACTATAGACAGCTATTGTGTCCGTAGCTTTAACGATGGTTCTGGTCATATCAGATGAACTGTTTAAGGAGAATGTCTGATAATTATCTGATCTGAAACTGAGAATGTCCCCGTCGATGTACGTCCTGCCGTCGTAGGTAACGTTGCCGTCCAGTCTGAAGATGACGTCAATATCCGCTTTCTTGCTGTGTGTGGCTATCACCAAGACGGACATGTACGACGTTGTGTCCACGTGAATGTTGTCAGTAGGAAGACAGGAAGTCACAATGTACTTCGTGCCTAGTTCCGACACTGGAAGGGGGCAGAATGATGTGTAATCGTTCATTCCCCCTTTGATCTGAATAGCATCATCTCTGACAAGCACCAGTACCAGAATTACAGTGTACGCTTTATGGCGTTGGGGGTAATAATAGTCTGTGTTGTAAGGATTGAAGCGTCGAGACCAGACTTGCCCAGAGTGTGGATCCTGTACTTGCCACTGGCCTCCCGTCTCTCCAGCAGTAGCGAGTATCCGGGGTATTTTGTGGTAGTTACGATTGTACACTGCCAATGGCATCAAGTAAGTTTGACCTGTAAGGTACATAGTTGTGTTTATGCATTTGATAATCCGATGGTTAGTTAGTTAAGCACGGGATAAATAGCACATATAATCTTCATTAGAATGCATGAGTCTTTCAATTGACATATCAGTCATGACATATCCTTGAAATGACAACCATATGTTCCCAACATGCATAAGTTTTATTTAATCTATGAACAGGGATATGCCAAAGAGTGGTTATAATCAAGGTGAATCAACTTCACTGTGATTCTACTGTGGTCCAGACAACCGGATCGACCATGAAAACATGACACACATGTACTAACTACAGAGTCAATAGGGTATGAATCATATTAAGAACATTGTGAGTTAATCACCACAATGTAGTTAAGGAAACTATGATACATACCTTTGTAATGTACTAGTGCCTCTACAGACAGATTGTAGCCTGAGTTATAGACTGATCCGTTATAGAAGGACAGAACTGTGAAGGGGAGGTCACTGGATATGAATGTCGGAGATGTATATCTTGACTGTACCAGTGTGCCAACTTTGTATCTGCTGCCCGCTATAGCCCTCCACGTCAGGAGATCGTTGAGCCGTTCTTCTTTAGTTAACACAGTCGCTCTCCTGTCAGTTAGTATCTTTAGTTTTACACGAAGATTGTTATAATATAACCAGACTCCTTTGTGTGTGACGTACGATTGTACAGGTGGTACGGTTGTGAAGGAACTGTTGTAACCATCTGCTCGACTGAGTGTCACCAGTACCGGGCGTGTGGCGGTGAAGTGAAGACTCTCTCCCCGTTCAAGAGAGCGGTTATAGAGACGACGCTCGCCAGTAGAGACTGTGACTCCAGAACTGAAGGTGATCTGCACGTGGCTGTGTTCACTGATGATCTGCAGCTCCAGTTTGGTGTCATCTACAGCAACAACGTACTCCTGGCCGTAATGCTTGACCGGCAGCAGTTGGTCATACACAGTGTATCTATAGAAATATTCCATACCACTATAGACGGCTATGCTGTGCTCACTGTCAATGATCGTTCCATATAGATCATATGGAGTGGACACCTTTAACGTTTGATACGGATTAAGTTTAAGGGATAATACATCGCCGTCACTGTACTCGTAGTAGAGAAAGTAAACACTTCCTCTGTCCAGTCGAAAGTATATATCAACAGTAGTGCTGATGTTGTGTGTAGCTATTAGTAACAAGGATCGGTAATAACGGTTAGAGGCGAGACTGGAAGGTAAAATGTACTTGGTACCAAGGGCAGATATAGGAAGTGGAGAGAATACACCGTCAGCATCTACCACAATGTTTATATCGTCGTCACTTCCGCTTACAATGACAGCCGCATTTCCTACTTCACTTATGATTTTCACCTGGTCGCTTACACGTTGGGATCTACTATAGAAGGGACCCAATCGATCAACTCTTTTGTCGGCGAGGTGAGGATACTGCATCTCCACCAGGCCCCCAGTTTCTCCTGCTAAGTACCTGATGTACGTCCTTTCACCCTGATATGCTACAGCCACCAAGTAGTCTTCACCTGTTAAGTCAATTCAACGCAACATTACATTAACAGGATGATGCGAAATACCTCACATCTATAGCAATAAGAAGTTATATTACATCATATTCTGTACCATATCTAACATTCCATAGCATAAACTTAAATAGATTTCATTGGACGTAAAAGGCAAAATATTGATGACATCTTGAAAATGGATCACTGATGACACATCTATTACCATAGTCCGTCAACTGAACTTTTGGCACCCTGTTTTTCACTGTGACCAAGTGGGGTTGGTCTACCAACATATCACACAAGAGAGTATGCAGTTCATTTTGTATTCCATAACTTTCTGTGTGATGAAGCACATGGAGCAGCCTCTCAGTTTAGCCTCTCTCTCTCTCTCTCTCTCTCTGCTCTCACACCCACACTGTCTTTGTCTTAAACTCTCACGCTGGCTCCCTCTCTCTTATCAGTAGATCTTTCACTCTGGACCAATGCTGGGGCGACCCTTGTCCCGAGGTGCCTTAAGCTAACCCCAGACGACAAGTATTTATAGCTTTATCCCCAAACACTAGCCCATGTGTCTTAAAGGAATCTCCCCATTACCTTTAGTATTTAGGGAAAGATAAACCTTAAACACCCTGTCACATTCTCCCCTGCTGTAAGTTTACGTCCACGAAAACTTCAAAAATAGCCAAATGTTTTCTTAAATTAGAACTTATTTATTTAAATCTTTTTTTTTGCCTGATACTGGAATAGTTTAATTTGATACAAATATCTACACTACACTATATTCTACTATGCAGTATGCATCTTATCATTCCATATACACAATAACCATTCACTCTATAATCCTTGACAGAATGAACTAAGTCCCCTAGGCCTAGCTACAAACTAATATCATTGAAACTACATGGAAACTTGTGTTTTGAAACTAGTGACTGAAATGGTAACCACTAGTTATACACCATATATTTACATATACACCACTACTAGTTCTTGCCTGTCTGCTTTAGTGCATTACTTACCTCTTGTATAGCAACTTTCATGAGTCTCGCACTCAGGTTGACTAGTGTACTCTCTGTACTACAAAGACTGCCAGAAACAGGATTAGTAGGAATTACCCCCTGATTGTTAGTGTTAACAGATTTGGGCAGATTGTGAAGGTTAGAGTGCTTTCCCTTATTAGCCCTTGCAGACCTCCTCATTGGTTCCTTCGCCTGAGTTAGAGGTGAGACAGATGCTCGAGTGTCTACTTTGTCTGGGCATTCTACCAGAAAAATCTCTTCATCAGAGGACTCTGAGGCACTGATAGCTGACCCACTCCCATCCTGCTCTTCGTCATCCTCTGATTTACTTACCACTGCCCGGGCCACTTTTGTGATACCCCTGAATGAACATTCCTTCATTTCTGTCCTGTTAACAATCTTGTCTGGTCCATCGATATATACAGGTGTTACCCTGTACAGTCTCCCATCACGGTCTAGTTCTTCCATCACTTCATAAAGGGTACTATTCCAGTGATCCTGAATTTTGTTTCTACCCTGGACCTGCCGGTTCCTTAGGTACACAAGTGAACCAAGGTGAGCCTGTTCGTCATGACGAATTTTTCTTGCTCTGGCATCAGATTGCAGATGCTCCCCTGCTTTTTTGTAAGCATAGATAAGTTTTTCCTGTTGTTGATCTACCCATTCTGGCATGTCAACTTCCTCATCACCTGGTTCTTATGTCGCCCCACCCAGCAAACAGTCAACTGGGAGTTGTGGATGCCTTCCAAACATCAGAAAGAATGGGGAAAAACCTGTGGATGAATGGGGAATGGCATTGTAATAATACAGCAATTCCGGAAGATAATCAGGCCATTTCTTCTTTTTATCCTTTGGAAGAGTTCTAAGCAGTTCATGTAGGGTTCTGTTGAACCGCTCGCACTGTCCATTTCCTTGAGGGTGGTATGGAGTGGTCCGGTTCTTACATACACCATACAGAGAACATAAACTGCTTACTACCGCTGACTCAAAATTCATACCTTGGTCGGAATGAATTCTCTCGGGAGGCCCATATCGATGGAACCATACCAAAACTAATACCTTGGCAGTGGTCACTGCTTTTTGGTCTTTGGTAGGAACTGCCACTGTAAACTTTGTGGAGGCATCAGTGATTACCAGAACATTCTCTTTGCCACTTGTAGAGGGCTCAAGAACAGTAAAGTCCATGGCTACAAGTTCTAAGGGTCTTGTTGCGAGAAGATGGCCCAGTGGTGGTCTAATCTTTGGTTGTGGCATCTTCACAACAGCACACCTTGTGCAATCTTTGCACCAGTTCTCGACATCCTTATACATGCCTGGCCAGAAACAACGGTCTCTTAAAAGACTGAGTGTACGCTCAATACCTTGATGTCCTGCCTGGTCATGTATACTGTGCAAAACATTATGGTGGGAAGGATAAGTTGTCTAATCAGTCCAATATAGGGATCTTGAATTTCTCTGAAAAGAAGTTGATCATGAACAGACAACTTCCTCCACTGTTTGAGTAGGTCTAATGTTTTCCTCTGTTCTTGCTTTCTCTCTTCTCTTGTAGGTTTTCTTCCCATACCAATATACTGTAGTGTTCTTTGGATAGCAGCATCCTTGCTTTGCATGAGCGCTATTTCTTTTTGAGAATAACTCGGAAAAGAAACTTTAGACTCAATGCCTTGTTTACCCTGTTGTGCAGAAATCATAACACTTTCTGGGACCATTGTGGATTTCTGTGTGTTCAAAGTTGCCTGAACTGATGCACATGTCAAAGTGCTAGTCGATTTCTTTCTCGACAGGGCATCAGCATTCTTATTATGCTGTGCTGCTCGGTACTTGACCTCGAAATCAAAAGCTGCAAGCTGGGACACCCATCTCTGTTCTACTGCACCCAGTTTGGCTGTTTGAAGGTGACTCACTGGGTTATTGTCAGTAAATACTGTGAATTTATGTCCAAGCAAGTAATCCCTGAACTTGTCAGTAATGGCCCACTTGAGTGCCAACAATTCAATTTTCATGGTACTGTAATTGTTGCATTTTTTCTCAGTGGGTCTCAAACTCCTGTTGGCATAAGCGATCACTCTTCTTTGCCCATCTTGCTTTTGGGATAGAATGGCGCCAAGACCATTTAGACTGGCATCAGTCTCAACGATTAAAGGTTTGGTAAAATCAGCATACCCTAGCACAGGTGCTGAGATTAGTTTACCTTTCAAACTATCGAAAGCGGCTTGACAATTATCATCCCAGGCAGACTGTAACGATGTTTGTGGTTTGCTTGTACTCAACCTGTTGACTGCATTATGCAAGGTCCCTGCTATGTTGGAGAAACCCTTTACATATCGCCTGTAGTAGCTTGCAAACCCCAGAAATGATCTCAAGTCCTTCAAGGTCTTGGGTACTTCCCACTCTGCTACAGCTTTCACTTTCTCTGGATCAGTTGCAACACCTTCGGCAGATATGACATGCCCAAGATATTTAACCTCTCGCCGCAGAAAGTGACATTTGCTCAGTTTGAGCTTTAAACCATGTTTTCTCAAGATTTAGAATACATCCTCCAACCGAGCGAAGTGTTCTCGAAAGACTTGGCAAATATAACGATGTCATCCAAGTAAACCAGCAGAATTTGGAATATCTGCTCCCTGAAATAATGTTGCATAAGCCTCTGGAATGTAGCAGGAGGCCCCGACAACCCAAAAGGCATGCGGTTGTACTCATACAACCCATAGGGAGTGGTAAAAGCCGTCTTTTCCTTGTCTTTCTACTCTACTGCCACTTGGTTGTACCCAACGGCCATGTCCAGTGTTGAGAACCATTGACTGCCATGGAGTGCATCCAAGCTCTCTTCGATTCTGGGCAGAGGAAATGCATCTTTTCGGGTCTTAGAATTCAACTTTCGATAATCAGTACATAGGCGAATCGAGGATTCTTTCTTGCGCACCACGACAATTGGTGATGCATAAGGGCTATGACTTGGTCTGATGACATCCTGCTGTAATAGCTTTTTGATGTGTTCCCTAACCTCAGAAAATTGACTTGGTGGAATTCTGCGATAAGGTTGGGCGACAGGGGCATCATCTTCGGTTGGAATCTGATGCTTCACAGTGTCTGTGTATCCCAGGTCAAGGTCATCCTTTGCGAACACATTACTGTAAGCTTTTAATAAGCTTCCTAATCTCACCTTCTCTTCAATGGAGCAGTCACATTTTGAGATGTCAACAGGCATTGCATCTTCCTTTTCACTGCTGTGATCAGCTTACAGTTTTCCACTTACCTGTTCCAGGTATACTTCTGCCCCATGAGTTACACGAAATTTCATCTTCTTTTCTGATGGAAGTCACTCAATTTCTTCCACCTGTGACAGTACACCCACTCTGGTTTTGGGCTTGAGCCAAACATCAGACAGTCCCATGTTTGCGACCCTGATTTGGAAGGCTCGGTTCTGTACTGGAACCGGAGTGTTTACAACATGCACATTTGCAGGCAGATGTCCAGGTGAGACCCGAATCTGCTCAAACATTGCATAGTTAACAGCACTGTTGTTGTCGTTATGACAGATTGCATCCACAATCGCAACAGATTTACCTGGTATGCATACGGGCTCTCTTCCTGCTACCTTGACTGTACCTAGGGTGGATCTTGTTTAAGTATTTGCTTGAAACTTTTGATCCACGACTCATGAACAGACATCTCGGACATCTTGCTTTGGAAGTTCTGTCCAAGGTCTTCAAGTAGCATGTCTCTACAGAGCCTAATCACATTCATTCCTAGTATACATGGCACCTGCTCCCTCCGCTGCCTGGTTGTCATATCGGAACTGTTGTCAACAACCAAGATTCCTCTTTTAGGAATTGTTTTTCCAGTGCTTCAATGTCCAGTTCTATATAACCAATATAGGGTATCTCCAAACCATTGGCTGCCTTAAGCATGAGCCATCCCTGACTTGAAGAAGTGGTTGAAAAAATATTCTGTAATCGTGGTAACCATCGACCCTGTATCCAACAAACAGTTGGTTTCCACTCCACCCATGGAGACTCTAACTACTGGACAATCAGACACAATATGGGAAAAATCTTGGAGTTGCAAACTGCCAGACATGGATGAGCCTGTACAACACCCTTCTACTACCCGACTCATGGTAGTAGAGGGTTTCAGTTTTCCGGCAAGTGAGGGGAAGCCAGTCCTTGGTTACCATGCAATTGTGCTGGGTGCTGGTTCCTATTAGCCCCTCTACTTTGCTGGTAATAGCGACCTCTGGCACGCCCCCTGCCTCTTGCTCTCTGTTGCCTTGGATTATCCGGGCAATCACGAGTAAAATGCCGTGGGTCGTTACAGACATAGCAGCCTTGCATTTGAGTTGAAGGTTGCTGAGAACTCTATAGCTGTTCCAAGGTCTTGTGGAACATAGAAGAGAGTTGATCTATCTGCCTCTTATGTTCTGCGATGGAATTCTGAACTTCTTCTCTTAGATCTTGGAGCTCCTTTGTATTGTTCACCTCTGCTGCTACGGTCCTGCTAAATGACTCAGAATTAGCAGAATCGTCCTAACTCAGCTTCAAAGCCTCTTCCCGAAGCTGTAGGAAGGTCAGCTTTGGTGACTGACGAGCAAGCTGTTTGAGTTCTCTCCGAAGCCAACCCTCCCTTACATTCTCCGAAAATTGATGTTTCAGGGCTAGGTCTCGGTCGGGTACAATGGCGGCATTTTTCTTGTAGACCCTGTCAATGAGTTCACTGAGGGAATATGAAAAATGCCGCAGGGACTCTTCTGCTGTCGCCTGTCAAAAAAACATTTTTGAAGCTCATGTACTGAACATGAGTCTTCAAAAACATCCTGAAGTATTTCCCAGATCGTATTGGGGTCTTCTTGTGCTTCTCTAGGTCTAATTCGAAGCTCCTCTTTGTCATTTCCCTCTAAGTGCGCCAAAAGGGATTAGCTTCTTCCACAGGTGAAAAGTTTGACTGTTTTACTGCTCGATTAACCTGTTCTTTAAAATCACGAAACCGGATGCCCTCTTCTGTGCCAGTAAATTTACTTACCTTGATATCCTTACCAAAGTAGATTATCCTATTTCTTTCCTTACCTTCCTTTCCATCTTTTCTCTCAGTTCCCTTCCTCACTGCCTGCAGATCTTCAAAATAACTCTGTCACCTACCTCGTTCTTCTTCTAATGCTTCCCTTAATTTTTTTATCTCATCTTTCAACTTTGCCTCAGCCATTTTCAGTTAGGATAAATTCTGGGAAGTCTAACTAAACAAGGGGATAACAGGACTATATTGATAAATTAACCTTATCTCAACTCAACTCAACATAAACAACGTTTGGTTTGGTTCTTTTCAAGGTGATATGGTAAAGGAAATTCATTTAGGACAGTCTTTTCCACTATTCCCAAAACAGCTCAGTTTACACAATTAAATGACTAAATAAATTTCATTTTTGAGATAAATCACTTGCCCCAACTTGATTCATTTAAACCAGATGCGCAATATACAAGACTCCACTTCCCGTCAACATTCACCCTCCATGTGCCTCAATACAAACACAATGTAAACAATATAATGATACACACAATGTTGACATTTTATGAATTATAACTTTTTATAAAGTCACTTTCTGAGCATATTGTCCTTGTTTGGCACTGCTAGGGTCAATAATATTCACATCCCAAGTCATGAATGTCTCAGAAACTCAGAAGAAAGAGCTTTGGGTCCTTTCTCCTTCACTGTCCATCCACAGGAAGTTAGCCATCTTGTCATGGCACTGGTGTATCCAGTGTCACTTCCTCTTGCTCCTTGTCCAGTTACCAGTCTCCAGGGGGGATACAACCATCTGGGGGGAAGGGTGTGCTGGGGGAGTAGTGTTTCTCAGGGGCAAGCTAACTCTTGCTGCCCATAGTGGTCCTAGCAGCTGTGTCTCGTTAAAGTTGACAGGCCAGTTAGTGGGAGGCCATGCTCACACACAGTATCAAACTGGTTAAAAGTCCATTCTTCAACAATGGCACCAAATCTCCATGCTCCGTCTTTGCTAACTGCATCACCACTCCCTGCATATTTCCATTCTTGTGATGAGAACAGTCAGTCTTAGTCTCCTTGCTTTTCCATATCACACAGTGGTATTGTTCCTCCTCAGAGCAAAGTAGAATCCATTGGACTTAACTCTCTATCCTGCCGACGACGCCAAATGTGAACCAAGTGGGGTTGGTCTACCAACATATCACACAAGAGAGTATCCAGTTCATTTTGTATTCCATAACTTTCTGTGTGATGAAGCACATGGAGCAGCCTCTCAGTTTAGCTTCTCTCTCTCTCTCTCTGCTCTCACACCCACACTGTCTTTGTCTTAAACTCTCACGCTGGCTCCCTCTCTCTTATCAGTAGTTCTTTCACTCTGGACCAATGCTGGGGCGACCCTTGTCCCGAGGTGCCTTAAGCTAACCCCAGACGACAAGTATTTATAGCTTTATCTCCAAACACTAGCCCATGTGTCTTAAAGGAATCTCCCAATTACCTTAAGTATTTAAGGGAAAGATAAACCTTAAACACCCTGTCACATCACAATTTACCTTTTTAACCAAAAATGCCTTCAAAATGTTTTTAGGCATACGCTCTTTATATCTTATGACATATCTAAGATTTAAATTTTTATAATCTTATGTCAATTATTAAAGCTTCTTCTTAAGAAGCCATCTTATAAAAATATGAAAAATATAAGTAGTTATACAAGGGAGTAAAATGATACGATGGAACAGCAAACAACATGGTGGGACACACGTGCATCTTGTTTACATTGTTACGCCTGCAAGCAAATCTAAAGGGACTGTATAATCATGACAAATCCATTTTAAACAAGTAGATTTATTGAAGCCTGTAAATACTGGTTGCTCAATCTCTTGTATCAAGATCCAAATTTGAGCAACAGCTTGCATATGGTATGCTTTGATACATTGATGTCATGGTCTTCTTTTGAACAATATTTTCTTCAGTTTGCTTGACGATATGGACTCACTGGGTCGATTTAATCGACGCATGACGTCCCTCACAACCCTTCTATCGAATTCATCAAGCTATCTTTTCTTTGCATGTTTTGAGACGGACCCCGATTTAACTGTCATGTCATCGTCAGTCTCTGAAATAGTGTCATGGGAGATAACTCTTTGCTATGTTCTTTTGCAGATCTTGGTGGCATTAAGTGTCTTTTGGAGAAACACTCCATTCAAAAAGAGGGGTTTTTTCGCTTTGCCTTGCGCTTGAAAAAGTTGTAAACTCTTTTGATGATTTACCGGTCATCTTTGTACAACATCGTTTTTACCACAACCTGTGTGTTGACGATCTTTGACATCACTTGAGCGTGCTAATGTAAATACCCGTGCATGTACATATCACGCTGACACACATTTTACAATGTTGTTGGCTTTTCCATCACGTGCGTTAACCCCTGGTAAAAGTCTCCACAGTTTTACAATAATTATATGACAGGTTTAAAGGCAAAATCTTTAATAATCGTTTTAGAATTACCAAAAATCGATATCTTGTTAGGTCACAGTATACAATTACCATAGAGTAGCGTTTTAAAATATTCAGGAGTTTTATGTAAATTGTGAAAAACAGGGTGCCAAAAGTTGACGGACTATAGTACATTAAGCTAATGTGTAGACGTCTTGGCTCGGCATTTAGAATACATGAATTTTGTGTTTAGGAGATTCATTATGTTTTACGAATGGCTCGACCAACAGCAATTCTTATCTCAATAAATGTAAACATAATTAACTGGAGTGTCTTTTTGTTCGCTTTGACACTCAATCATTGATTTCAATGTTGCTGTTCAGGGCAGATCTGTTTCCAAATATTTTCAAATGTTTGTACAGTGCATGACTGATTTAAAAGCAAACTTCATAACTTTAAACATTTAAAACACCATGAATTTGTGCTGAGCCTTGTTCAGTGCATTGTAGAGTCAACAGAACACACAAAGTGGACACCAACAATATAAACACACAAAAGTGATCTGGCTTACTATCCAAACATTTATCTTGCAATTCTGTTTTGTCGGAGTCATGTTTCACGGAAGGAGGGTCGGGGGTGGGGGTGGGGGTGGGGAAATGAGTTTTCTTAAGAGATGTTTTATATTCTTGATGCAAACCATAACATGCTCTTTGTCCTCTAAAATACATGTTTAACATGTTCTCGAAGGTTTGAAAAATATATAGGTATGATTTATTTCTGGTGGATTATGCAGAAGTGACATGAAATTTTCAAGCACTGTTTGTGTGCACAGGTCTTAAACGTGTTTAGATAAAACACGCAGAAACGTATCTTTAACATGTCCAGTCTGTGATAAATATCTACATACCTTTCTTACATCATACAGTTTTTAGAATTATTTATGGGCTGTTTGAAAGATGATTTTCATGAATAGAAAATAAATTGGCAGGTGTGCAGCTTTTTAAAAAAAAGCGTAGTCTTGGTCCTATACGAGGTCATCCGATTTTAATCTTAACAAGATTTAGATTCAATAAGATTTTTATTTAAAATTAATCCCAAATAATCAGTTCATTGTTATCCGAAAGAGTTGTGCGGTTTCTTGTTTCAATCAGATATGCTTATTATTACAAATACTACATCGACGTCATCATGTCTGTTCGTTCCCCAGGGGGGCGGTGGGGTAGCCTGAAGGTTGAAGCGTCTGCTCGTCACGCTGAAGACCCGGGTTCGATTCCCCCACATGGGTACAATGTGCGAAACCCATTTCTGTAGTCCCCCTCCGTGATATTGCTGGAATATTGCTAAAAGGGGCGGAAACACATACTCACTCACTCACTCATTCTGCGTCCCCCAAATTGTGATATTCGGGAACTTCCATGTTGAATGAAGCATTGATCAACATTACGTCTCTATTCTTCGTAACAATACAGTGAATAGATATGTTTTTTAAAAATGACTACAGTAAAAGATCAGTGTCAGATTGATGATACAGTGTACAATCATAGATCATGGCGCAATAACAGTCACTTACATTTGCCGCTATGTAGGATCGTCAAAAGAACCACCAAAGTGATGCCCTTGTAAATCATCCTGATTGTTCCCGTTTCCTGAAAGAACAAAGGATGAATATCTCAGATGTCTGCTGAGATGTCTGGTGGTGGTGATCAAATCGACATCGGAATAAGCGACACAAGCTCACTTCGCTAAGGCCTCTATACACGAAAAGGTATAGCAGATTTTTTACAGGGACTATTTTTGTGCGTGATAATATTCAAGTCTGTGTTTGTGCAGTATAGCCTCGAGGAAGTTCAATGTCATACTTGTCAGTGTTTAGACAACCAAGTTAGCAACGTGTGCAGGGTGGTGTACAAACAACACTAACCAAACGTAGGGTTTGTGTACATGTAGGTTTACGTGCAAGGCGTGTTACAGAGGTGTTCCTCTTGTAGTTTTCTTACACTCCTCGTTTTGTACGTCATGTTGTAAGTGAGTGAGTGAGTTAAGATTTTAAGTCAAATCGGCAATATTTCAGCCATATCGTGACTACAAACAAGTTATAATTCTACAATAGATAAAGGACAGTAAAACAACTAGTATATCACAGATTTCAATTTAAAACTAGTAATTAAACACTAAAATACTTTAACTATAGAGGACAATACAAAATAAAAACAGGCCATAGATTGCCAACAACTGAAGTTAGATCACCATACTAGGGACCATGGGGACTTACAGTACATTTGCTTCCTGCACTGACCCTAGCTGGATTTACATCATCCCTTCAGCCGTTAGCAATTTAGACACATCTAGCCATACAGTTAAAAAGACACTTATTCTTCGATTAAAAATAGTGGAAAGTTTGAATTTACTTTGAATGTTTTTGGACTTACGTACCCTCTGAGGAGGACAATAATTTTACAATACTTTAACCCCCTTTGAGGATACAGCCACTAATAACTGAGTTACTAATTTAAACTTCCAATCATAAAACATTCATCTAATTACAAATCATTTAACAAATCTAATTCTTTTTAAAATGCAATAATTAAATAAGAACTGATATTATTAAAAATATCCTTCATTGTTGGTGATTTGAAATAGTTATCCCTTGAGATGGAATATTCAACACAGTCAAGCAGGACATGCTTGACCGTGATTCATTCATCACGCGGGATGCAAAACCGAGGATCTTCACCTTTTAATAAGTATTCGTGTGTATACCGTGTCTGGCCAATGCGACATCGTCGCATGATGACCTCTTCAAATCTGGACTGACAACCCAAGTGGGTTTAACCAATATAAGGTTTTATTTCATGTAATTTATTGATACCTACTTGGGTGTCCCACTTCTTCTGCATCAGATAACTGATGTAGGTTCTAAAGCTAGCTTTGTAATCAGAGTATGGGATAAGAAGTCGTGTCACAGATTTGCTAAGTGCTGCCTTGGCAGCAAGATCGGCCATTGTGTTCACAGAAATGCCAACATGGCTGGGTAACCAACAAAAGACGATGTCACATTGGCCAGTAGCAAGATCATTATACACTTCAATCATTTCTATTAAAAGTGGATGTTTACAAGAAAGGTTTTAAATGGCCCGAAGGCACGACAGAGAATCGGAAAAGATTCTATGATACGATATCTCTAGACTCCGATATGATATAGTGATAACATGACACGAAATAACAATGGTACAACACAACATCGTGATACAAATGACGAGATATGACGATAGTGAGACACGACATAGTGATATAATGACATGATATGGCAATAGTGCGACAAGACATAGTGATAAAATGACAAGATTTGGCAATAGTGCGACACGTAATAGCGATAAAATGACACGATATGGCGATAGTGAGACACAACATAGTGATAAAATGACACGACATGGCCATAGTGAGACACAACATAGTGATAAAATGACACGATGTGGCAATAGTGCGACACGACATATTGATAACATGACACGATATGGCGATAGTGAGACACGATATATCCTAATAACATCAAATGGCTATGACGCATAAAAAGCATAGGGCGAAGTGGTCAGGTGGTACAATATGACGAGAAGCAGAAAGACATAACGCAATATGGTCGTACAATGACATGTACGATATAATATTTGCGTCTATTCACCACATATATGCACATGTGTGTGCACGTACATACATATGTATATATACATATACACATACTTACACACGCGCACACACCTATACACGCATACACATACATACAGTATACAAGATATAATCTATGTTATTTGCTGCTTACTGTATAAGTGTTTATGTCTGATTCGGAGTAGTGAGTGAGTTTAGTTTTACGCCGCACTCAGCAATATTCCAGCTTTATGGTTTGTAAATAATCGAGTCTGGGCCAGACAATCCAGTGATCAACGGCATAAGCATCGATTTGGGGTACGATGTTAACCAAGTCAGCGAGCCTGACCATCCGATCCCGTTAGTCGCATTCTACGACAAGCGTGGTTTACTGACGATGAATTCTAACCTGGATCTTCACGGGTTCTGATTCAGAGTAAGAACAAGAAAAAATATTCTGATCAAATATCCACGTTGGCATGTTGTATTCAACAATGTGCTGCTTTGGTGTATTAGGATACCAATCCTCGGATATGAAGCGCTGGACGTATTTTTATAAACAAACATTTGTATTCCGCTTAGTTATACAGACAAGATTCATATTGTCTCTGTTGATGTAAGTCTATAATTGGAATACTGTTCCACACACCTTATTCAATATTTAACTTCAGTAACCTTGAAGCGTTAAACATCATTTCATACCACCGTCATCAAAGCAGTTTCCATACATCACGGCCATGTAACACTTAACTGAAATACGGCCACGCCCATCTCCTCCCCATCCACAAACAGCAGGTCAGTGGTTAGTCACGATGACTTGCCTGATCACGAGTCATCGTGACCCAGTAGCGAGGATCATTCGTCACAGATTTGTTTGTCCAACACTCAGTCCCACAGCTGCAGTGTTCTCAAGGCTGCGTTCAGGCTGATGGTCCTAAAAACGCGTCTCGCTTGAAATGTATATTCCGTTTGATATACATGTATTTATCTTGTCATGACACTCCTGCTTATTGATAAGGTTAACTATAATATTTCTCATGACCCCACAGTGATATTGCTGGACTATTGCTAAAAGGAAGGTAATACTAAACTTACTCACACACTATTTGCACTATCCATAAGACGTCTTATCCAAGGTTTGATGTCCCAAACTCATCCCAACCTGCACAATGTTCAGTATACATACATGTTTTATTTGAATATTCTTTCAGAGGAAGGAACATATTTAGCACTTTGTGACATGTTCTGGTGGATGTAAAGCATTAGCAGTCAAACAGAATGGGGGAATGAAGACAAAAACTAAAATATAACAGTATATTTAAGACCTGTACAAACACTTTCAAACATAATCAATATATAATTATGGTTTTCAAAATGACAGACATTTCCTACTTGCCAGTACGGCTAATTCACAACGCCGACTTTGTGTTTGTGTACCAAGCAACTAATGGGCATTTATGTTGACTAACATACCAAGGGGGCGAAATATAGTGCAGTATATTATCCATGTAAACTTTGTATCCATGTAAACAGATCAGATATTTAAAATGGAGTGGACATTGTAAGACGCACCATGACTAAATCGAATAGAAACTAGTTAGTGACCGATTCGCTGGGTAAAATCACTGTTGACATGTGGCAATACAGTGTAACTAAGGTTGTCAATGAAATTGAAGCCGGTTACTGGTTTCGTGATGGTCTCCGACAGGCAACTGTCGCACCGCTTGTTATTTCCATCAGCTCTGAATGTGATGCCACTGATGACGACGTCACAGACCATTCAGAAAAGATATTGAGACGCTCACATCCGCATCTGTCTATTCCCGTTGCTGCCTTGCGCCCCTCCGCGCCAACTGTCAACAATCATGTTTATAATGATGATAGTTTGTTAAACAACTTTTTCTGTGATGCATGACAATTTCTAATAGCTGAAAAGGTGTTTGGGTATAGGTTATTCATGAACATCTTAATATTTATTAACTTCCTTTCTAAACTGATATATTTAGCAATTAATAGGGACACTTTCAACAGACCACATGGCAGAGTGTTGTGACCAGATTAAGTCATCGATGTTCACCAACAAGCTGAAGCTAAATGAGGACAAGACAGAGTGTCTTCTGGTAGGGACAACACCTCGCCGAGAACAGACCAACATCAAGTCGTTTCACTTTGGCGAAACCACTGTTCCACTATCTAACAGTGTTAAGGACCTTGGCGTGACTGTGGTTCCTGAGCTGTCTTTGGACCAGCACATTACCATCTTGTGCAGGACATGCTTCCTTCTCCTCCGAAACATTGGAAACATTCGAAAGCTTCTCACAAAGGAGTCAGCTAAAATCCTTGTCCTCTCATTGGTGATGACAAGACTAGATTACTGCAACAGCCTCTTTGCTGGTGCAACAAAATCCCAGATTGGTAGACTGCAACGGGTTCAGAACACAGCAGCAAGAATAGTCACTCTCTCACCCAAGTCAGCTCACATCACCCCTGTGTTGAAGGACCTCCACTGGTTGCCCATTCCACAGCGCATCACTTTTAAACTCTGCATTCTCGCCTTCAGATGTCTCTCTGGAAGTGCACCTCAATATCTGTCCGACCTCCTTTCTCCATACAAACCAACAAGATCCCTCCGCTCCGAGAAACATAATCTTCTGTGTATTCCTAAAGTCAGAACAGTTAAATTTGGTCAAAGAACTTTCTCTTATGCTGCAGCATAACTCAACTCCCACAACATTTGAGAGAAATGACAGAACTTTCAACCTTTCGAACATCGCTAAAGACCCACCTTTTCCAAAAAAGCCTTTTCGTCCTGACATCAGCGCTTTGAGCATGCATTGTGCATGGAAATATGCGCTTTATAAATGAACTATTATTATTATTATTATTACTATATCAGAGGTGATCACGAAAGAAGAGAAGGCGAAAGGTTATTTTATGTGCAATGAGTAATGTTATAAATGTACCAAAACTAGTCTAAGCGATGAAAAAAGCACGGGGATGAGTTTAGTTTAATAGTTCATGTTTTGTACTACAAACTGTTTCTCCTAACTATGGCTTATGAATCATATCGTGGTTCT